TTTTGATTTATCACAATAATATCACAACCATTTATAGGTCTTTTTCTATAAACACATACGTCAAGTCATCGTACATCAACACTAGTCGTCCAAGTCAATCGGTATAAACACATCCAACACTTTCCGTTCATGAATGCGCCATATTTCATCTTCTGAACAAAAGTGCTCCTACCATCATCACTCGAAAACTTCTACTCTTCTTTTGCTTGTTCGTTTTTATTAAGTTCCTTAAATGCCCATTAAGAGCATCTCCAACCGTCCTATAAAACTTCAATTTTGTCGGTGATTCCTTTTCAACCGACCGTCAAAACCTAGTAATTTTTGTCGGATCTTCAAATCGAACGGTAATAATATCGTGTAAATTTTCAACACGTAAAACCCTACCTTTTTAGTATTTTTAGTGTTTTTCTTGGAGTAAAGGTCGGAAGGAAAAGCAAGTCTAAGGTCAAAAGTTGGTATTTGTGACAAGAGCAAGTAACTCAAATAGGAAAAAGTGGAAGTCATGATACCAAATGGGGATAGCAAAAAATATAGGGGATAAGATTCTCTTGTCCCACCCACTCTTCCATATAAACAAAGTGATATAGATAGCAGACCAAGAATTGTAGAGTTAAGGTGAGAAGCGTAAGAAATAATTTGAACTTTTGATCAATTTTAATCTCAAATTCATCTATGAATCGCGCTTGGTACGTGGATTGATCTGATGCATCTCATCCTCTAATGTGCATTCCAGGATGGACGTCCCTTCTCATTCATCTCACCTTAACTCTTCTTCTCACCAGAACCCAACCATCGTCTGAGAAGGAAAGTTACAGTAAGAAGCGTAAGAAGAAACATATCCACCAATGATTTGAGCTTTAGAAGGGAATTGGTTCGATGCATCTCGGTGTACTTTATTAGTGTTGACATTCAATTAAGATTGATCCAATGATGAAAATCATTTCTTACGCTTCTCATCATAACTTCTTTTTTTATCGAAATTCAACCTTATATATATATATATATATATATATATATATAATACAAAAATTAAAAAAAAAAGCGATACTTCATTTTTATTAATAAAAAGACAATTCTATCCCCGTCTACATGCCTCCTTGGTTGTTGACTTTGACTTCTAAATATGGTATTTGACTCGTTTGTGTTAAAGAGAGCACAGGAGAGTGGAGACCATGTGGAGTTGTGCACAATTATACCTAACCCATCATTTCTTAAGTTTTTAAATATTTATATATTATTATATGAGAAATTTATAAAAATAACCAGTTTATACAACCTTTTGCCACAAAACAACCACATTTTAAAGGTTTTATCGGAATGACACGGGGGCGATCCCCCCATTAAGTCTTAAAAAAAATTTCTCAAAAATCGAGATTACTGTTCATTCTTGTTGATTGTGTTTGACCTCCCCCCCGGGGCGATCCGTACTGTACGGGGGGCGATCCGGGTAAAAAAAAAAATTTTATTTTATTTTCTAATACCAATTTCACTATAAATATCAACCTCCTACTTCATAATTTTTCACACATTCCCTTCCATTTTTCTTCTCATATATTTTACTCTCACAACTCTTAACCCATTAAATACAATAAACCATCACAACCTTTAACCCACTAAACACAATCAACCATCACAAAATATGAAATCACGTCAAAGTGATAATATTTGTGTGTATCTTCGAAGTGGCGGTTTATTCCAAGATATAAATGGTGTTTTAGAGTACCTTCCGATAACCTCCCCCACATGTGCAATACGTTTGTCTTCGCCAATAAAGTATTTTGGGGTCGTCAAACGTGTGACGAAAAAGTTAAGTTTACGTGGTCATTTCAATTTATTTTTTAAAACGAATACGTTATATCAGTTTATGGACGACGATGATGTGGTAATCCTCCACAACAGATAAAAATAATTTTTGCTTCTCCATAATTATAAAGGTTTATTTTTAAACATTTACCCATGAAATTTGGTTCTAAAAAAATTAAAAAATACAACTTCAATGGCGTATCAGTTTTATTAAAAATACCAAAAAATTTAAAAAAATACAACAATTATCATCCGGTTATTTTATAACGAAAAACCGTGAAATTTAAAATTAAATACGTAAAAATACACACTTTATGTATTTTCCATTTTATTAAAAACACTCCTTAATTGTTAAATAAAAAACACAAAATGACAAAATAGAGGTCAAATTTCGTCAATCATATATTATATCTGATTTACGACCAAAACAGATAAAAATAATTTTTGTTTCTCCATAATTATAAAGGTTTATTTTTAAACATTTACCCATGAAATTTGGTTATAAAAAAGTTAAAAAATACAACTTCAATGGCGTATCAGTTTTATTAAAAATACAAAAAAAAATCCGGATCGCCCCCCGTACAGTACGGATCGCCCCGGGGGCGAGGTCAAACACGGTCAACGAGATAATGAACAGTAATCTCGACTTTTGTAGAATTTTTTTTAAGACTTAATGGGGGTATCGCCCCCGGGGGCGATCCCCGTGTGGTCATTCCGGTAAAACCTCTAAAATGTGGTTATTTTGTGACAAAAGAGTTGTGTAAACCGGTTATTTTTATAAATTTCCTTTATTATAACTTAAAATATTAATTTATAAAGTTATTATTTAAAAACCCACATTTATCCAATCTAATCAAAGTAAAATGCATTTTTTCAATCGTATTTCCAATAAAAAGTTATGTTTTATCTGAATAAAATTATTTAAATAGTATTTAACCTAGCGGTATGTGAGTCTTTGACCTTCTAGAAAGTTAGGGGTATAAATCTCATCGAATGTGAAGAGGATGTGTAAGTTTATTTGTTTTATTTATCACTAGAAGGGTACTCGTGTAATGCAACAAGATACATCTCGATTTTAATGTTTTTTTTGTTCAATGTCTCCGTCGATGTTATAATACGATTTTATGTGATTTTGGAAAAAACGATAACGTTTGTAATATTGAATAGAATATACGTTTTACAATATCATAAAAAATTAAAAAAAAAATTATATCGAAATTAGTATCAATTTAACTATTTAAAAATTTTCGTTCTTTTGTGTAATTTTTTTAATTCGATATTTTTTATTATAATTTAATTTAGGGTTAATAACGAAGTAATTTATTTTTGATTTAATAATATAATTTTTTATAAAAATAATAATTGTTAGAACTCAATGATTATCTTTATTATATTTTGAATTTTTTATATTTAAAATAAAATTATGTAAATGTCTTATATATTTACGTAAACTTGATCATATTAATATATATATATATATATATATATATACGAATTTATGTAAAGATCCAGATTTACGTAAAAAAACTTTTTTTTATTTTTTTTTAAATTGACTTTACACAAATACATAAGATATTTTGATTAAAATAAGAAAAACTGAAAGTATAATATTATAATGAAAAAATTATGAAAATAAATTGTTATTTTATGCATTTTGCTCTAAATTTATAATTGCCAGATTTGTAGATAAATTTGAACATATTCTTAAAGTCATAGTTGTTAGAGGCTCATGATTCTGACCCATTACGTATTTTATTTTCAAGAAACCATTAAACAATGTTATTTGTAACGTTTCAAAATAAAAATAACATATGAAACTCAATAACTTTAAGGTGACATTTGGTTTGTTGGAATCCGTCAGAATTCGAAAGAATTGGAACGATCAATTCCATTGATCAAATTTCATTCCCACATTTGGTTAATTCTTTGAGTTTTGATAAGAAATTCGAATTTCACACACGATGGAATGTAATTCCTTAGGTTCTAGCAAAAAAAAATCAATTTCTTCGTATAATCTTTTATGAAAAAGATATCATACTCTTGTATTACTCAATTCCATTCCACCCACCACAATGCAGTCGTTGCCGCCATCACCATTGTCACCGTCGGCGACACCACCACTGTCACCTTCACCCCAAAACCCACCACCACCACCAACGTCAGCACCGCCATCCACCACTACTACCACCATCTACACTATTACCGCCTCTACCCCCACCACCGTTATTATATTCAACGAACCAAATAGACAAATTCAAATTCTTCTTACATGTTCAATTTCATTCGTGTCCAACCAAACACATATTTCATGATGTGAAATAGATTATATCTTAAATAGGGGTGCTCATGGGTTGGGTTGAAGGCATTTGAACAACCCAACCTAATGTTTGCGGTTTGAAAAAATCTTAACCCAACCTAACTCAAACCAAAGTGCAACCCAACCTAACCCGTACGGGTTGATCAAGTTGGTCGGGTTGATACTTTGGTACGTTAAAATATTCTTCTAACTTTGAATATGTTATTTCTCTACTCATAATTTTATTTTCATCATCAACCCTATGATACAACTTGTCCATATTTTTTACGTATATTACATTTAGTTAATTTTCTCAATTTACATATATATGTTCACAGCTACTGAACATATATACGAATGAGTTATATAGAAATGTGAATAGATTGAAAATATGTGTATATGAACAACATACATAATAGTGTAATTGTCTAATATATATATCAATAGAAATTCAACAATCATATTGAATCCAAGAAATAAATGGATATCGGGTTCGTTGGGTTGGGTTGAGTTCAAATAATAGTAACTCAATATCAACCCAATACCTACAGTTTGACCATTTTTCAACTTGATTAGACATCGGATTGCTTTGGATTAAGTTATTTCGCGTTGGATTGGATTGAGTTAATCGGATTAGTCGAGTTTTTTAGCACCCCTAATCTTAAATATGAATTAAAAAATATCATAAAAAAAATTCTTCAAAAATTCAAGGTGGTTATAATAATATGGATTTGTTTAGAAGACCACAATAAAACGCGCTTTCTTGCGGCGAGACGACAAGTGGGGGCCATGATGGACTTTAACTAAGCAGATTTACCCTCTTTCTTTCACTCAAACAACTGCTCCCAACGTCTACTCTCCCCTCATTCCTTCTTTCTATAACAATCAGCAACCGGCCGCCATGGGCAATTGCTGCCTCGGCGGTGCTGCCACTTCCCAATCTGCCATCCGCCGATCCTCTTCTCATCGAGATGCTAATGGTCCTAACGACGCCGTTGATGGTTATCTCAAGTCTCGCGGCTACCATGGCCTTTTCACTCAGATCGAGGTTTTCTTTCCACTGCTTTTTCTCTTTTACTTATTTTAGGATGCATATATCTATGTAATTAATCGGTTATGTATTCTGTAAGTATGAATTTTTGCCATATCTTTGCTGGAATATGCGCTTTTGACATATCACGAGTTCGTATGCTAACTTCATAGACGGTCGGTGTATTTTCGACAATGCAAAGCGGAGGTGCGAATTGTTAGTTCTAGTGACTGGTTAAAAGTTGAGAAATCTGTAGTTAGAGAAAAGGTTTGGATAATTCTTGATTGATGAATCAATGAGGGAGAGATTGTTCGAATTCATGTACATTGAAGTTGTGGGAGCTAATTCAGCAAAATATCAAAGCTATCTGAAGTGTAGGAGCAAGTAGTTGTATACTCCGTCCTATAATATGATATATTTTTTTTGTCTTGGATGTCAAATGGATTGCTTTCGGAATTACCTACTTATGCAACTTCATTTAAAAAGTTGATTACTTTTGCTAAACTTCACCCCGTGGTACAAATTGGTGAAAGATGGTGTTAAATTATACATGAATCAACATATGTCCATTCTGCATCCTCAAGTACTAGGCTTGACGTCAATGAACAAAAGTTTTTTCCTTTCCTTTCGGAAGGAGGGAGTTATTGTCTGTAGCATTGGTTTTATGTATTGAGGGATTCTTTCACATAATATGGTAGGCATGTTTCTTATCATAATCAGTGACTACAATTTGACGCCCTCTTTACTTGTTTCTCAAATTTCTGTAATTCCATTGGCGGATTTAGGCCTTACCGATTTTTCCAATGATCTTAGATATTCAATGGGGCCACAGTTGGACTGTATAATTCAGCTTCCAATGTGCATGCATGTTTTGTGTTTCTACTTGGTGCATTTGGATGCATTCCCTTTATATTAGCAAATTCTGTCGAATATTGGATTTAATGCCAGTTGATTCCAATGTACACCGACTCGTATTATCCTTCTATATAAGGGATCAAATTGCATTAATTAGGGGCTAATATATGCTCAGACAATAATTATACCTAAACCCCAATCCACAGACAGAAAAGCTGCCCATCTACTCACATCATACTAGAAAGTCTCAATTTTAGTATAAAAAAAAACCAAGCACCTCTAGGGTAATTAAGAATTGTGACTTTCTTGAATGATTTAGGTCAAGACACATCTTTAACAGCCAAGCATTATATATTAATATTGATGCATATTTATAATTATGATTATCTGTTAGAAGTTAAGGAAGTGGAATTGGCCCTAGCTGCCATCTAAAAACACTAGAAAGAGATTTTGGATAATCTTGCTCCAGAATCCAGATATTAGTTAAATGAACAGACATAGACAAGGATATCCTAAACTTTGCGGGATGCCTGAAGTAAACCATGTAATTGTCGGTCTCAAATCGAGTGTACGGGCCTTACCAAAAATGATGATTGAAGATCTATGCATCTGAAACTAATTGCTGAGTAATATAGTAGAATGGTTCACCATGTTTTGTAAAATGCTTTGTCGGTCTCAAATCGAGTGTACGGGCCTTACCAAAAATGATGATTGAAAATCTATGCATCTGAAACTAATTGCTGAGTAATATAGTAGAATGGTTCACCATGTTTTGTAAAATGCTTTGTGCTCATACCTAAATCGCTTCTTATAATAAATTTGTGCATGTATATTTCATTTCAGGAACATAATCTAGTGGCCTTTCTTTCTAAGAATGAACATATTACCAATCAGGATTTGATATGATATGATTAGGATTTCAGACCACATACTGTGTGGTTGGTGTTACTGCTCATATAGTGTGTTAATATTTCTTTAGTTTCTTATTCTAGATTTCCATAATTTAGAATCAGTTATTAATGTGAAAATGGTCAATATGACAATCGCTTTAAGAAAAAGGTTAATGTAATCAATTAAGTCAAATATGGCTCAATTTCATGATAATATCATGCTTATGTGTAAAATAACCACTCAGGCTTTCTGCTTAGAATATATATTTTTTGATAACTCGAAACATCTGTTCACTGCAACAATGGTGTTGAAAAGCTGAATGGTTTCCAACTTTCCATGATTCATCAAGCATGTACAATGATACTAGTGAAGTTTAAGTGTTGTCTGAGTGAGATCAGACCAAGCACAGACCTGATGGTCGATGGTATAATTGTGAACAATCTTAGAAAGTGTTTGTTATTACTCGCCATGTCGCTTTTAGTGTGCCAAACTATTTCATACAGCTGGAGAGTTGAGCTAGATTTCTGTAACAGGTGTCTTTTGTGCTTAAAAACCTCAATAAGTTCCAAATCAAAAGACTATTGAGGTTAGTTGATTGTCTAGGCTGAATTGGATTTATGTGGGTTGCAATAAATTATGCTTAAGAAAATGTCCACTTTCTAGCCATGGTAGTCATAATATGGGTGGTGGTCTGAGAGTGCAGCTCTATCATATCTKCCCTCTCATTCTTGCAGTTTGAGGTTTAACATTAGGCAGTCATGTAGGAGTGATGGCTGTCTACTGGGACTGGTATGCTTACAGCATTATGATTTTTGACCAACAAATCTTAAACTATTGCATGTTAACCTGTGCCTATCTCCATGTTCAAACTGTAAGTTTTTATTGTAACAGACACATGATTAACAATGCGTTAGGTATGTAATACTGTTATCGTACTTAATTACCTCAGCTTTCATTTTTCTGATGCATTAGGCAATTTCTTGCAGCTATCATTGTCTGCTTCAAATTTGCGTGACCGGGACGTGCTTTCCAAGGTAGGTTGCTTGCTTTCTTATGAGAACCTGGGGAGTTAATTGCATATTCCTGTGTACTGACTGCTGGTACTTCATGCATACTTGTTTTCAAGGCTCTGTCTTCCTCAGTTCCTAGCTCCTTAATTAGCATAGACAAAAGAAAAGGAACTTGATGGCTCTTTTATTTCAGTTGTTCTACCGAATGGTTCTTGAAATGCAACATGTAATTCCCAAAAAAATTACCGCTGCTTAATTGGACTAGAGTATGTGAATGAACAACCAGGAACAACCATAGTATTTTCATATTTCTCATATACAAATAAGTAGCAACTTGAATCCAGGCTATTCATAGAACTTTGAGTCATCCTTTTCAATTCTGATAATTCAGCAAGTATACGTTCCACTTTTTCTATGCCCAATAATTGAACTTGTGAGTTCTATCTCTATGTGGGTTATTGGTTGTGCCATCAAAAGCTTAAAGTTCTGTCACCTCCCCGATCGTTCAATTAAGGATGATTCGACATAACTTAACCACCTATTTGTTGACGAGAAAGAGAGCTAGTTCAGAGTGGAAAATGTTGTATGATTTGTGCAATGTGATATTTGTTTTAAAGAGAAAGAAAGAGAAAAATGTATTTTTTTGATGTACACCTCTCCAAGGCTCTATATTGAATCAAGATAGAACTGGATTTAGGTTGGAAGCTTATGAGTTGGAAGTCCGAAAAAAGATGAACATTCCATAAAAACAAGGAATCACTTATGAAGTAACTTGGAAGCTTATGAGTTAAAAAGACCGAAAAAAGATGAACATTCCTAAAATCACATGATCATGTGTTATCAATCAAATAACTCCCAACTCTTTGGGACCATCATCTTGTATATAAGGTATAAAACATATATCCACATGTACAGTCCGCATGAAATCTTACTGGTGGATATGCACGCTTATTGATTCATGTTTATGTTTATTGCAATCAACTACTATCTGGCTGATCTGCTCTCAGAAGTCCTGCTAGTCTGGGTCCCTGAGTTTCTTGTTAGACCATTTTAAGGGTAGTTTCATATGATATCATCAAGATGCATGTTTTCAGTATGATATGATGCTGCTGCTAGGAAATGAAGTCAAGCAGCCGGCCGCTATATAAACCACGTTCTTAAACTATGACAAGAAAAGAACCCGGATGCCATGTTGATACCTGTATCCTGATGGGACTAATCCAGAAAAGAACATGCGTGAACAAGAACTTTTTTTTTAATAGTTGACAAACAATATGGATTTTTTGAATTGTGACCCAAATTAACATCATGTAATAATGCATCTAATTGGAAGCACGTCAACTCTTTAAGAATATCAATCTATGTGTATGTGTTTAAAATCTTTTGGATGAAGTTGTTTGCTTCTTAATGATGCAAGTCTTCATCTTTTTACATGAAGATTTACCTGCTAGCTCACAGATATATGTTTCATTTATAGAGTGATCCTATGGCAGTTATCTATACAAAAGGAAGGGATGGCTCATTGCAAGAGATTGGTCGTACTGAAGTTGTCCTAAATTCATTAAATCCCCAGTGGATTAAGAAAGTTATTATCACTTATCATTTTGAGGTGGTTCAGACACTGTTGTAAGTTTTTGTAGATCATGTCTTTGTTTTCATACATGTACTTTGTCAATATTATTTACTATTTATCTTGTATCACAGGTTCCATGTGTATGATGTTGACTCTCATTTTCATGGACTAGAAGAAAAGGTATATAATATGATTCTATATTCTAAGAACTTCCTTAGGACTTCAAAACTCTTATAGCCTGTCACTGTTATGATTCAAAGTATATTACTGAATTTACTAGCATTGTATAGGTATTAAGTTATTTCTCAGTATAATTGGGTGAGTTAAAGAAGAGATGAATATCCAGTTGTCAAGTTCATCCTGATTTTGTCGGAATTTGCATAAAACTTACCAACTACAAGCCTGATTATATACTATCAAGTGACAGCAGATGTTTTAACTGATTGCTACTTATCAAGAGAACATTCATTAATGTGATTACATGAGGACTGTAAATTTGGAGATTTATGTTGCTTTGCTTGCTTTAATTAGTTATTAATAATATTTGATCTATTAGTTGACTTCAGATTCAGTCTATGAATGAGAGATAATATGTAACAGTTGTATTGGCATCAACCCTAAACTAGAACATGGAAAACTGAAGCAACATCGAAAATTTGATGAAACAGAGTGAGCAAAGACTTGTGATATTGTCATTGTTCCATCTGAAAGTTAATTGCAGACCACCTGTCTTTCATCTCAACCCATTGATTAATCCTTCACTTCGTTCGTAGTTTCATCACTGCTTGTATCACTACTGCTCACTGATGTGCACCATCAACCAAGGTCTTCTCTATTAATGCTATTTATTGATGCCAACTAAATTTTCTATGACCTGGTGGAGATACTTGATGCATGGTCGAACAAAGAGACACCCTATTTGCATTTCTCGGGGAAAACGTCTGGCCCGAGTCACCAAATTCTTGATTTTGAAATATCACTTCCAATCCTAGGCAGAAATGGTTAGGATCTATGTTGCACGCCTGCACGGGCACAAATTCAAGCCTAACGCTATAAGAAACAGCCGACATAGGCCTGGAGCTCTTTTTGATATGAGATAATATTACAAATGTGAACTACGAAGAAAGTTAAAAAATGTATCATATACTGGAGTTTGATTCCTATGGAGAAATAAATGAAAAGGACCATGGTTACAGATTCTTTCTATTTTTGGAGATGGCACACCAATTCACTCATTAGCTTGTTTTTTACATCTTTTATCTGGTCGTGTTAATTGTTTTAAGTAAGCAAGATACCCTGTGAATGACTTTGGAAGAACCATAATAGCATTTTATGTTTATCCTGTAGATGCTTAAGTTGGACGAACAGCAACTTCTGGGCGAGGGTACTTGTTTACTATCCGAGGTATCGGCTATTTATCTGTTTTCTTCTTTAATTTTGTCATAACTCATAAGCAATTACACCCTACTTGGAATGTTTACCAGTGAAATAATTTTGGTATGGTTGGTTGAGAAAGTCATGTTGTGCCCTTGTCTAGATTTGTGTATTGGTGTGTTCATTGTCACAGGTGAATGTAAACTTGTTGAATCATCTTGTCTTTTCAAATGAATTGGCTATTGGTTTTACAAGTATGTCTCCATTTTCTATGGTTTGCAACATTAAATTACCACCCATGACATGCAAGTCAAACTATCTTTCTCATGTGATAGATTATGGTTGCTGTATAGTGTTCCCTCTTATTCTGTTTATTTTATATTCCTCTCTTCTTTGGATGCTAGTACTTAATAATATAATCACTGGGTTTCATTTGTAAAAGCTCATTGAACACCAAATCTGAGAACTACACAATGAACACTCATATATTTGACATAAATCATATGTTTGTAACTGTAAAATGCTGATTTTATTTCTACATAGATAGTAACCAGACCAAACCGCACGTTGCCGGTAGATCTTGTGGGAAGAGTAGAATCTACCAGCTCTACTCATCCAAAGAAACTTGGGCAGCTCACAGTTCATGCAGAAGAATGTGTTGTCTCAAAGACTACAACGGAATTGGTATTTAGGTGCATGGATTTAGAGAATAAGGAACGCTTCTCCAAAAGTGTATGGACCTTCTGATCAATCACTCTCTCATGGGTTTTATCATAATGTAACTACACTGATTCATTTCATATTGTTTCTTGAAGGATCCCTTTTTAGTAATATCTAAATGTGTGGAGAGTGGGCATGCTGTTCCAATTTGCAAAACAGAGGTCTTGAAAAATGATCTAGATCCAACATGGAAACCTGTCTCTATAAGCATCTCACAAGTTGGAAGCAAGGTATAAACAGGCTATATTGAAACTTATATGTGTGTGTGTAGAGGAATTGTGCACCTTCAGCAATTCTGTGTTAATCCTGTGTATCAACCATCACAAACTTCAAATAAAATTTGAACTTGATATTTAACGAGAAACCTGGGTGGTCGAGAATTTTATATATTTAATCACTCACAAGCCCACTTGTTGGTCCCGAGAATGTAGGTTTTAAAATTACAAGCGCACCTGTAGTAGATAACATACTAAAGCAGCTGTTATAACCATATAGAATTAAAACGAATTCTATGTGTTTAACATTATGGTTGCAAATTGTGGAGTTGAGAGCTTTGTAGCAACTGTTCTCTGTTTGAATCTGAAAAAGAGTATCTGCAAAATGCGAAGGAAATCATGTGTACAAAGGACTTCCCTTCTCAATCCCTCAAAGTTTGAGGATCCGTTGTGCACCGAGGCTCCCTTTTTATGGTTGCAAATTGAGTCGGGGGATCTCCCAATTCCTGATGTAAAAACTTTAGTTTCTGAAAGCAGTACTATTCGTATTCTAGTAACCTTAAATATATGTTATCTAGTGGTGGAATGCTGAACTGCTCAGAAGGTCTTGCTCATGAAGCATTCATCATTTTCAAATTAATTAACTTACACATACCAAAAGCTATGAACCAGCCACCTATGGACACTCTAAACGACAACAGTGAAGTTTAAGTAGGTGCATATGGCAGACACTAAATTATGAGGGTGAAGTGCTGAGTTTGTGCATATGGTTCCTGCCATGATTAATTTTTCATATTCTGCATTGTCAGCATATGTAATTAGGCTCCAACCTATATCATGCTCTTACTCATTTAGTAATTCCTAGTTGCTATTTAGATCTTTAGTCAAATCTATGCAGGAAACTCCACTCATTATTGAGTGCTTCAACTTCAATAGTAACGGGAGGCATGATTTGCTTGGGTAAGTGAATTACTATATTCTTTGGCTTCCTTTTTCATTATTTATAGACAAAATGCTTATATTTATATTTCTTTCTTTTTAAATTAATGTGTGCCATTCAGCAAAGTTCAGAAGTCGCTTGTTGAGTTGGAAAAACTATCTTCTGGTGGGGAGGGAGAGCATTTGTTTGTACCTGTTGCTATTGGGAAAGATCATCAGACTAAGGTCCTAATTCCCATCCAGATGTTAGCATACATGCTTATGTGTGTGCCTGTAGATTTATATCATTGTGCTTTGCTCTTATCACTATTTATTAATTGAATACAGGTATTAAAGAGTCGGCTCTTTGTGGACAAGTTTTCTGAAAGTGTTCATCATACCTTCCTGGATTACTTGGATAGTGGCTTTGAATTGAACTTCATGGTGGCCATAGATTTCACAGGTATCTCATTCTGTCTAGAAGTGCATGTGTTTCCCTCTTACCTGATAATTAGTGCCTTTTTAAGAAGTGCTTTATAAATTGTCAAATGACACAACCGTGCAAAGTGTTTTCTTGTCTTAGCTATATGAAAGGGTACCAGAAGTTTATCCCATCTATCATAGTATAATGCCAAATCTACCACGATTTCAATAATATATCATCGCAAACAACGTATCCTCAATTTCTTAAAGGTCCATACACGCAAACAACAGACCAGTAACATACCAATTCCTGATGCAGTTTGAGGGAGCCCATCTCCAAAACCCATCTGTTTCCCTTTCCAAAGATCCCCCTGTTTTATGCGATTTTCTATAGGATTTACGTTAGGAGAGAGATCTGGTGGACTACGATAAACAAAGTTCCTTGCTCAGAAGTTTTAATTGAGTTAACTGTTGTACCTTGTCGATTCCCCTCAAAAGACGTTCCACTGCCAGTTGGTCCAGTGCTTGTTTGGTTGAATTTGGAATGCGTAGTGATTGGTTTGCTGTTTCATCTTGGATGGCATAGTGATTGATGGAAAGTGAAGAGGGTAATGAAGAAGATAGAATATGAAGATCTTCAGTAGAATTTTTGATAGATTTGCTCATTTCAGTCCTTTTTTCCAAAAAGTTTCCACATTGAGGTTTTTTATTTTTTGTTCTCATATCTAGTTGGATTCCGGCATAAAAAAGATGACAAGGAAATATGAGATTTCCTGACCAATCAGTAGACCAGAATGTTTAGTTGAAGAACAGAACAAGTATTGTTGGTCTTGTTGGCTAAAGTTCTAGTACATTGTCACATTGACAAATCATGAAAAGTATATTGGTCTTTTTGGTAATTAACACAATGAATAAATCTATGGCAATTATTAGTATGACCATCAACTCACCATTGTTCCCTTTTATGGAAAGAATGTAATTGTTAAAAGAGAGATTGTGCATTAGTTCACATAGTCATTCTGCTAAAAGTAACTATGGTTAGTTTGGTGGTTTCCATAAATTTTCCCTTAAATGAAGCAACCTCATTATTTTTTGGTGGGTGTAGATTTAACTAGAAGGTCTACTTTGTATGATTTTGCATCTAACTCTCTGATGGTTGCACTAAACTGGACATGGAACATCTGATATGTTTTTATTTCCCTTACCTTTCTTGACTTATTGAGGTTCCTTCAACTGTTACCTATTTCACTTATCCAGCATCGTTGGACATTTGCCTTGGAATTCTATACTTATGCTTCTTAACTCCTATTTTCTATTTTCAGCTTCAAATGGAAATCCTCGTTTGCCAGATTCCTTACATTATATTGACCCTTCTGGACGTCCAAATGCATACCAGAAGGTGAGAATCCTATTTTTTGCATAATTTTATAGAAAATAGGTACACTTCTAAACATATAATGGTATTTGTATTATTAGGCAATACTAGAGGTTGGAGAGGTACTGCAGTGTTATGATTTTGACAAGAAATTTCATTCATGGGGCTTTGGAGCACGTCCAATTGATGGTCCTGTCTCTCATTGTTTCAACCTCAACGGGAGCAGTGGGCACTCAGAGGTGGAACTTCTATCAATAGTTTTAAAATTTTATTTGAAATCTTGAGCTTGCCATATTGGTGTTACATTTTTAGGTTTTTCCTTGATTTTTTTTAAATGCTAATATTCTAACATATTTTCTCTTTGTTGTCTCTCAATTTATTATATTTCCAGGTTGAAGGAATCCATGGAATTATGATGGCATATGCAAGCGCCCTTTTTAACGTCACACTTGCAGGACCAACCCTATTCGGACCTGTGATTGCTGCTGCTGCAATGATAGCCAGCCAGGCTTTGGCTGCTAATCAAAAGAAGTACTTTGTTTTGTTAATCATCACGGTATGCATCATCATTCCTTAGACTACAATAATGTTAATTTCGTTGTTGGTTTCATTACAATTACTTCACTGAGAATGTCACAGGATGGAGTGATAACAGATCTACAAGAAACAAAAGACGCTCTTGTGAATGCATCGGATCTGCCACTGTCTATTCTTATTATTGGAGTTGGTGGAGCCGACTTTAAGGAGATGGAGGTACTAGAATTACTTCTTTGCCCTTCTTGTTTGCCAATTCATACCAGAGCTTCAGCAACTGTATTTACTTAGGGGGTCTGGTTTTCTCAAATTCTAATGTTTGCAGATTTTAGATGCCGATAAGGGAGAGAGACTTGAAAGTACAACAGGACGTGTTGCAACACGCGATATAGTCCAATTTGTTCCCTTTAGAGATGTACAAGGTGAGTCATGGTTTCTTCTGGGTTGAGCCCATTTCTCCCTTTCTCTCTTGATATGCATGTGAGTGGGTGCCAAAATGGTGTCTTGTGACACCCACATTTCCATGTCGCCACTTGCATCATAAATGTACTTAAATATCAATATAACATAAATAGCATGAACATAAACGCATGAGCAAAAAAATCATACTTTCATGTTCATGCTATTTATGTTATATTGAGGTTTTAGTATATTTATATTACAAGTGACGGGTGTTATTTTAGAATACCAAGCTTAAACCGCTATTTGTGCAAGTTAAGATTTCGGCCTTAAGAATCTGATGTTTTAGTATGTTTATGATGTAAGTACGGTTTGGAAAAGTGGGTGTCACAAGTTGGTATCTGAGTTATTCCGCAGAATGAGTTATACAAGCGGTGCTTATGAAATAGGTCTTCCCATACAAAAAAGACGACGTAGATCCAACTATATGCCCAATGAGTTGTGTGCAGCGAGATCTTTTCTCGGGCATTATTCAACATGTGAAATACCTAAAAACTGCTACCTGATGCAGTTTTTTGCTCCATATGTAATTTTAAATTGGGAGGCAAATCCATCCAACGCATTTTACCATAGTATTTGAACTTTAGGAGGAAACCATCCAACACGTTTTGCCGTAGCATTTAAACTTTAAGTTCATGGGGTACTAACCCACCACCGCACACTCAAATAACACAAAACAATCCCTCATGGAAGATTAACATTCCCCAGTATGATTCACTCAATGGAATTGAACTAGAGACCTCCCGCTTCCTAAGGTGCTAGGTGACTTGGTGATTAATTACCATTGACCAACCATTCAACACAATTTTAGAACACCAACCAAAAGGTAAATCCAACAGTCTAGATATGAGATAATACGCTCTACAACATCAGCGAACCAAAAGCCTAAAATTTGGTTAAGTTTTCCCTCTCAGATTGGTGTTACATATATGGAAAGCCCGTCATTTTCATCGGAGTAGCTAGATTTCAAGCGATACACCTGACTTGTAAGGCTTCATGGATGCCCTTATCCTTTATCTAGATTCTAGCCATAAAAATTAAATCCACAATGTTCATGATACCGTTCATTATATAGTACTATTTCTCCCCTCCATATCATGTTACGCCGGATGGCATGTCATTTTAATTGGAGTATAACGCCACACACATTCCCTCATACTTTTTCGATAATTCAAAGGAAGATCAATCAAATCAATTTCCATAGGCATCGAACAAATGGAGCTAAATTGCAGAGAAGTTTAGGTATTTTGCAATTCAGCTCTACTTTTTCTATTCCTATGGAAATTGATTTGATTGATCTTCCTTTAAATGGTCAATTCGACATCAAATTGGTAACTGCCGTTAAAGAATTTTACTTGTGTAAAAGCCAACCCCGGTCACCAGAGTTCTTGGACCTGTCACTAACGGGAGATGCTATGTGATGTAATAAACATCCATGTGGAGACTTCTATATATGCATAGTAATGTCACATGGGGAAATCTTTCCTTACCATCAAACTCGAAAAAAAAAAACTAGCAGCACGTTCGATCGAAAGAGTCAACGTTTGACTTTCAAGTGTGAAACTTAACTTTAGAAATGTGGGAGGATAATGATTACTTTGAATACAAGGCAATAGCAGCAGTATTGTCAAGTTTGAATTTGGGAAGTGGAAATTTTGAATCATCAAAAGCTGACTTTATTTCTTGAATCGAGTGTAAAACGTGTCCAACTGATTATGAGAGTTGGCATATTGCAGGTGGAGGAGAAATCTCTGTTGTTCAGTCTCTTTTGGAAGAACTCCCCTCACAATTCTTAACCTTCATGAGAAACAGAGATATTCATCCAAATACATGTTGACATACAAAATTGTATATATATATATATATATATGTTACTTTTCTTGTGCAATTTTCGGTTTCATCGTCTTCCTCCTCATCTTCGTGATGTGGTTAGATTTGGTGGGTCATTCATCTGTGTGTTAATGACCCACTAAATCTACCCACATAGCAAAAAAAAAAAAAGGGAGATAGAGACACATTGAAATCCATGACTTCATTTTGAAGAGATAGAAAGCCCACAATTTCCATGTTGTGCTGGTTGACAAGTACATGGAGCTGGTTGACCTGTACTTTGCCAAATACTATGTTCAAAACTTGTGGTTGGGTTGGACAAATTGTAGTCTCTTTCTATTTTGTTACCATCTTGTAACTTAAGTTTCTTTTTACATGGAAAATTACATTTGAGCTTATAAGATATTCCGGGTTTGTTCATGTTTTTTGTTTGACATTTCGTATAGAAATTGATATTTTTGTGGTTTATAAATTGAACCATTTTTAGGCGTGTTTACATTATACATGACAAATACCGAGAATCTTACCCGGTAAGTGAGAGAGAAGACTCTTACCTAGTTCGCGTTTACCGGGTAGGAAAGAGTTACCGACAATTCATTTTGAAAGCCGAGAATGTTATCCGATAAGGTTTACCTGATGATAAGATTTAAAAACCCGGTACTTTAGTTTGACTTTCTAAATTTAGAAGTTGCAGAAAGACTGGTGAGTGTTTGGCAGGATTAGGTTAGGGTTCATACCTCCTTTTTGTTTTAAAGGCTTTGAACCATATTTCGTTTACTACAACTTTCAATCCGACAAAACCTGCCATTTTCAAAAGGTCAAACACCCTTCTTAAATCAATAAACTTCACTTCTATCAATTATCATACATCGATCTCAGTATTCGCAACCATTTATACCAGTCCGTATCAATTGCACATCTTTATTAAAGATCGATTATGTCGTAATCAGTCACGTGGCATGACCGATTAAGAGAATAGGCTATATGTTCCTCGGTAATTTGTTGGGTAATGTGAATTCAACTTGTCCACCCAAACTCGTCAAATCTTGATCTCTTCAATTTCTCTCTCTTAAATGTTTTTAGCATGATTGTACTTTATAAGTCTCATCCACAATAGCTAAACTATTTTAGAAGTTTGACAGATCTAAGTAAAAATACGTTTCGACGGTTATATTAAACTCTCGTTTAATAAAAAAAAAATGTCCAAATTTATAAAAGAAGAGAGATGGTTAACCAATTATGATTTTTTTTTATTAATCTGGATATCCAACCCGTTATGCGAGCCAACTAATCCCAAGGCGACCACCTGCTTTGCAGATAGTCCGAAGTCATCGCATTTGAACCTCCATGACCACAACAAGATTTTTATTCCTCATTGGATTTGAACCTGATACCTCCTGGTATTTTTTAACCTTTAGAGTCAAACTCAAACCAATCAGGTACCACCCTTGTCGTAAATTTGGCCAAAGGGGATTTTTATGTTTTTGTTGTGTACCCATTTGGGCACACGCATGGAATCAAGAACCATGACCCAACACTTTTTCCAACTTTTGAAACCATGGGTTCATGATCCAATGCCACATAAAGGTCTAAAGGTGATGAGAAATTTAGTCCGTACCACATTTGTTGTTGTTTTTATATGTGTGTTGGATTTATTCGTAACACGGTTTGGTGTGTGAATGTGAAGATTATCGTCCAAAAAAACATGCACATCATGTTAGACCAAAAGAAAGCTTTAAAGACGAAAAGTTAAAAAGCAACACAAAGAAGATGGCATCAGATTTCACATGCATTTATCACATCCTAAATCAAACATATTACTCCAAGGATAGTCGAGGTATGCACAAGCGGGTCCAGATACCCAGTATGGTATATTTAGACAGATAAATTTAATTAAAATATCATTTAAAGTTATGGGTTGGGTTTCTAGTGAGAATAAGAGTTATGATGAGAATCTGAGAACAAAACAGTCATATTCAAGTCTTTTATTGTTACTAGAAGGGTACTCGTACAATGCAGCGAGATAAATCTCCATTTTAATGTTTAGTTTTTATTCTTTGTCTCTATCGATATAATACGATTATGTATGGTCTTGAGAAAGCGATAATGCTTTTATTTTTGAATGAACATAGATTTGAAGATGGCATGAAAATTTGAAAAAAATAAAATCGATAAATAGTTTTTTTTTTTTTTTGTAACTTCTTTAATTCAAATTTTTATTGTAATTTAATTTAGGTTTAATAACAAAGTAATTTATATAAATATAATAATTAAACATTATGTTAAAACTCGATGATTATCTTGATTATATTTAAGATTTTATATATTTAAAATGAATGTTTATCATGTATTTGATTATGTTTATCTGCAGTTAGTTACATGAATTCAAATATAGAGCTTTAATAAGTTGTATTTATACAAAATTACTTGTAATCTTGAATTTTAAGTAATATGCATCAATAAACAGTACTTCATGCATAAAAAATAGTTTTTAAAATAATTTTTGTCAAATGCTTTATAATATAGTATAAATTTATTAACAAAATTCGTTACTATTTTTTTATTAACCTGGATATCCAACCCGCTATGCGAGTCGACTAATCCCAGAACGACCACCTACTTCATAGGTAACCCGGAGTCACCATATTTGAACGACCACAAGGGGATTTTTATTCCTCTTAGGATTTGAACTTGAGACTTGCTGGTACTTTTGACCTTTGGAGCTCAAGCTCAAACAAATTGAACATCATCCTTGTGGTTAAAATACGTAACTATTACTACTATAAAAAATGAAATTTAATAGAAAAAAACCTGGGATATCACCGAAAGAAATAAAATTGAAATGTCAAAATGTTGAATGTAAGAAATGATAAACAAAGATTGAGAGGCTTAATGTCAAAATTCGAAGTCATCGGATACAACAAAAGTATCTTAATTAATATTCAATTCCTTTTGGTTTTATTTATCCATAATTTAATTTTTTTGACGAAATAATTAATATGCTTTTTTAATTAGAAGATAATTAAAGTTGATAAAACATATGAAGTCATGATTAATTTCATCCATAATTCCATATCTTGTACACAAATTGATGAATTTGTACAGGAATCTTATACCACTTCTTACGTGAGTTGGTCAAATGAATGGTAACATGCATCATATATATATATATATATATATAGGGGCATATTCAAGGGAGAACTGAATTGTTTGTGGTAACTATGAGAACCAATATTAACCACAAATCAATAGATACATTAGGAAATTTATAAATTTGATAATTTTAAATWAAAATYTTAATGCAAGGATATTTTTGGTATTTTMWMTCYTCTCTCCTCTCTTCTCTCTCCGGCCACCGTTCTCCAGCCTCCGGCCACCGTCCTCCGGTGATACCACTATGATACCACTGTGATACCTAAAAATATTGACTCTGTTAAACAAAAGATACATTGTGATACCTAATCATATATAAGATGCATAGTGATACCACTGTGTTACATCTTCGATCGACCACACAAACGACATCAATGTGATACCCAAGCATATATATGATGCATTGTGATACCATTGTAGTATCACCGGAGGACGGTGGCCGGAGAGAGAAAAAAGGAGGGAGGAAAGTTTTAAAATACCAAAAATATCCTTGCATTAATGTTTTAATTCAAAATTGCCAAAATTATAAATTTCCTAATTTATCTATTGATTTGTGGTTAATATTGGTTCTCACAGTTACCACAAACTAATTAGTTCTCATTTGATTAGGCCCCTATATATATATATATATAATGAAAACCATGCAAATGCTATTAAATTTGTAAGGAGGGTGTGTGAGTTTATTTGTTGTATATAAATATTATATACTTAAAAAAAATGTTATTAAATTTGTGAGGATTAACCTTTAACCATTTCCTTTTGTTTAATTTTAATCCTTGTTTCATATTTTTTTCTATCGTATGTGAACTTATGTGTGTTAATTTGTATATATGTCTCGTATATAAAACACGTATATTACTTGTGAACTATTTGTGTATGTTTTATATATAAAACATGCACACAAATTCATACAAGCCAGAAAAACATGTAAAACAATTATAATATGAATCATAGATTAAAACTCAATTAATTATATATATATATATATATATATTAATAGGGTGAGTGAAAACTATCATTGTACAAAAGTGTTAGCACGCTCATATCATATGTGATGTTGTACTCCATCACATATGAAATAAGAGATGCAAACATCCTTTGGCCTCACGGATCAAGTCGCATGCACACCACCAAGTTTTTTATGTGTATCATCATATGTGATATGAGTGTATTCGTGTTTTTATTAAAATGCCGATGTTCTTACTTGAACTCACTCCTATATTTTGTGTGTGTATATATATATATATATATAATATATGCATTTATTTATGTATACATATATAGAAAGAGAAAGGTTCATATGAAAATAATAACCAAATAAAAAAACATGAAAACGGTCAATCAAATATGATTCTACACTAAAATCAAATATGATTTTTTAAACGTTTTATTTTTTTATTTTGATCATTTTCTCTTTCTCTCTCTAGTCTATATATATATATATATATATACATATAAGAGAGAGAGAGAGAGAGAGTGAGTGAGAAATACGCGCATTGGTGAGTTCAGACGATGCAGTAATGGAATATTATGAGAGCAACACCTATAAATAGCAGTTGTTTGTTTCTCCCCAACCTCACACTACTTCCCCTCCCAACTCTTATTCTCATTGTTACTTGTGAAATAGGTTTTGTCACATCACATATATATCATCTCTCTCTCTATATATATACATATATATATATATATATAATTAGAAGAAGGTGAATATATATATATATATATAGAGAGAGAGAGAGAGAGAAGGAGGATGCATAATTATCATCGGAAGAGAAGCGTTAGGGCGGAGGAGGAGGAAGACGAAGATGACGTATTTCCGGTGTACTCGTCTCAATCACAAGATGATATGACGGCCATGGTTTCTGCTCTGTCTGAGGTTATCGGCACCGATGACACTCATCATCATCCTCACCCTACCATCATTCCAAACCAACCACCACTCAACATTCAACACTCACCACCTGCTGCAGGTCTCCGGTTCATTATCTCTTCATTCATTTTACCATGCATATCATCCATGTTGACGTTGATCACACTCATAACTCTTTTTTCTAATACAAAATGTATGGAGTTTAACGTGAAATTCTAAAACACCAAATCTTTATCCCAACAGTAAAATAGCTGCATGTTGTTGTTGTTGTTGTTGTGCATGAAACTAAATGGCAAATGTATGATGAACAGAAGGGAACCAAAGAGGAAGACAGAGACACTACAGAGGAGTAAGGCAAAGACCATGGGGGAAATGGGCTGCCGAGATACGTGACCCCCACAAGGCGGCCCGGGTGTGGCTTGGCACCTTCGAGACCGCTGAGGCTGCAGCCATTGCTTACGATGAAGCTGCTCTTAGGTTCAAAGGCAACAAAGCAAAGCTCAATTTTCCCGAAAGGGTTCAACCAGGGAGGTCTGAGTTGGGTTACCTAACCACACGCCCCCATCACCCACCACCTCCTCAGTCTCAGCCACCGTATCATGCCACCATGCCCCCAGATTACTCACAGTTTCTTCTTGGTGCAGCAAATGACATGGGTTATAATCCAAATATATTGCAGTCGTCTTCATCGTCGTCTACAAATCTGCAGGGAAGTTCATCTGGTTTTGGATCTATGCAATATTGGCAAGATTTTGATCCAAATAATTAATCAGTTTGCAGTTTCAATCACCAAACTTGTAACTTTCTTATAAGCTTTCATATCAATTTCAATATTTCATACAACTTTCTTTCCTTCTGCAACTACCAAGTTATATAAAGTATATATCTATATAGGGGCTGGTTCAAATAGAAACCAACCGTATGGTACAAACTATGTGAATCGATCTTGATCGTTCATTTTATYATCAAACGGTTATTATTAAATGAGATTAAATAAATAATAATTTAATTAATGTATTAATTGATATGTGTATGAACAATTGTTCAAAGGGTAAATTGGTCAAACGGTCATTATTAAATGAGTATTAWAAAATAATCAATTAATCATTAAATTAATTGGGCTGCTTATGAACAATTGTTCACAGGGTATTTTGGTAATAAATCMTCACGCATCGTGAACCCGATATTCTCCAGCCGATTTGTAACCTACGATTGATTATGAACATATTCACAACTCATGTTCACATGTCGGCCCTATGCTCGTGTGAACAGCATCTGTTTCTTGCAATGTAAGCACTATGTTCATATATGTTCACATGTCGGCCCTATGTTCGTGTGAACAGCATCTGTGTCTTACAATGTAAACACTATGTTCATATGGTGTGATGTTTTTCAATGTCATACCATATGACATCGTCACGGGTTCGTGTGAACAACGATTGTGTCTTTCAATGAAAACAAGTTGTTCATATGGTGAACATCTATGAACATAGACTGCAAGAGATGCACAGATATGAACATTTTCAAAATAAAGGATCGTTGTGCATGTGTGCAGATATGAACATAGACTGCAAGCGTTTATCGTCTTCATTATTCTGACATTCTTTTACAATAGGATTCTCCATGTATCTTGAACGAAATGAAAATCTTGTACACTTAGACAACCAATTTCAATATATGTATAAAATCAATTGAAATGAATACCATGAACATAAAATAATAAAGAAATCATAAAAATCTCATGAACAATTAGATGTATCTTTTAAGATTTGTAACTCCCAATTAATTAATGGGGGTTACCAAAAAGTTGAATTACCAAATTACCCTTATCATTAATTTATAATTTAGATTTGAACCTAAAGTGAAGAAAGAATGTGATTGATCAAGATCGGTTTCCATAGTTTGTACCATATGGTTGGTTTCTATTTGAACCAACTTCTATATATATATATATATATATATATATATATATATATATATATGAAAAACCATAAAGGATGCGTTTGGTATCCAAACAGAACAAAACAAGTGTTCGGTGTTTGGTAAAGACAAAATTGAACAGAACAAAACAGATAAAATTACCAATTTATTCGTAATAAGTTGTTTATACGATACATATACATATATTTTGACTAGTTTATGTAATTTATTAAATTATAATAGAATAAATATTTTTATAACAAAATATATTATTAGAAGTTTTCGTCAAAACAATTAAAATATGATAAAATATGAAGTTTATGCAATTTCCAGGTTTTATTTTATATATTTTCTAAATTATTTGTTAATAATTAAGATTTAATAAATTACAGAGATTAACTAAAATATAGACATCGTATAAAAATAATATTTTGAAGACGGTAAATTGAAAGTTTAAAAAAATATAAAATACAGTAAATCAAATTTAAATAATGAATAAAATGTAAAGAGAAAGGCGTATTTGATGTTTTATTTTAAGGTTATATTTGTAAAATATTAATTTGTTTCACCTTATTCCATAGATGGGTGTGGAACACGTTTGTTTCACTTGGTTCTACATAAAAGTCTTGTCAAACGTGGAACATTGATTCCTATTATATTATGTCATATCTAGTGTATCAAACCGAACGTATAAAATAAATTGAAAATAAAATTAATTAAGAAAAAATGGATAGAAAAAGTGAAGTTAAATGCTTATAATATTCTAAGAAATTTTGTACAAATGAAGTTAGATTATTATTTTAATAAAATAGTTTTATAACCATCTTTAATATATTAATTATCATAAAACTAAAAAGAAACCTTTATATTATGAACTTGGAGGCTCAGAGACGGTTACCTACCGGTAAAATTCAACATTATCATGTAATAAGATTTTAATCCATCAAAATGACATCGTATGCAATAATTTACTCGGTAAACGCTAATCGTGTAAGAGTCATCACTCTCACGTACCACAAGTAAGACTCTCAATCTTTGACATCACTTTTACCGGGTAAGATTCTTGGTCCTTCACATGTTAATCCGATAGAGCAAGTAAGCGTTTAGTGAACGAACCCTTGTTTGCCATATAATCCGTTAAGTTTCCAATGTTATGACGTAACGGGTTTTCTATTTGGGACAGAAGAATATTACAAACTGAAGGGATATTGATATCAATGCAATTCTTCAAACCTTGTTCCCTTTGATCATATCTTATAAATGGTAATGATTTGAACGATATATGTAGATACAATTGGTGAGAAACAAAATCTAGGCACACCTGATCCATCTTAGATTTCAAATGGTCTCTCCTTCTAAAGGAAGTTGGTTAGATCTCATGGTTTTGATTCACTTCGCGACCATTGCAACCGTTCTTGTGTCGTCTTGTGTGGATGCTCGGACCAAGGGGAAAAGGCTCCTACACGAGAACAGGTTAACGTAGATTTATATACCATAAAAGTGACCAAACTGTATGTATGCTCAAACAAATGTCGGAAACTAATCATCATGTTGCTTAATATGCATTGCCTGTAGCCAGGGTGTGCTTACTATGCAGACATGACTGGACAAGAAATGAATTGGCGACAGTAACGTAGGCGCAGGGGCGGACCTACATTGAAAGATACAGTGGCACGGGCCACCACTTCGTGGTTCCACTTTTTGAAACTGAAATGTTAGCACAACACTTTGATAGCTAAGATGATAAATTCTCCTACCTTTGTATAGAAGGCCCAAGTTCGAGTTTCACCGTCGTCAGATTTGTTGATTTTTAGCTTAAATTTTGGTTTTTTTATATACCTCTGGTGTTTTTATAAAAAAAATATAGCCTAGACTCGATCATGGGTTCTGGTTTCTTTCAAGCAGGGACAAGGAACCAACCAAAAGACCTATACTGATATAGTGAATTTTTTTGTTAGATATTTTTTCATAGTCAAATTGTGCCACCACTTAAAAAATTCCAGGTCCGCCTCTGGGTAGGCGGGCGGGTGAGTATCGTGGAAGGTTTTAAGTAGTTTATAATTTTCCTGTCATGTATCATCTCCCTGACACTTGTTTTATCTATTTTTAATGGGACAAAAAAACTGCATTTTTGTCCCGCTCAGTCCTGTCCTTCCCGGTCTAACTGTCGTGCTAAATGTCTCGTCCTGTTCGATGTACCTGACGCACCCTTAGGATAGGGACAGAGGCTGTGGTAATCGGTTTGAATAGAAGTTGAAATATCCTATGGATTATGGAGTGTTTGGCTAGAATGGATGGCAATAGAATATTTGTCCAGAATTTAATATGTTTACCTGATTGCCAGCATTTGGACCATCTGTAGTAAAGAGAATAGGATGACAACATTTATCTTGATTCATCAAGCTTGACTGCTGGAAGTGTGCGATTAGGGCATCCTTTCCTTGAATTCGAGCATATGCAAGGCATGCCACTTTTCCACTATGGAACTTCTCCCATTTTTTGCCATTGAATGACTGCAAAAGTTGTATTAGCTACTGGCATTTCTTTTCACTCAACTGAACCAGAATGACGGATAGCAAATGGATGAGTCGGATCACACAAAAAATGTTTAACTTTACCTTGTGAAATTGCAATATTTTAAGTGGATCGATCATGTTTATAAACGCGTAGCCCATGTTGCACTTATTCTGTAAAAGACAAGTACACATGTATATGAAACTTGACCTTGGATCAAGAATAGATTGATGGTGGTATATTTCTGAAACAAGAAGAAAAGGTGAAATAATACTTGCCTTGAAGTCAAGAGGAAGATAAATGAAATCATAAGTGCCTTGATTTTGTTCATTGATTGCAGCCAACAGCATTGCAGAGCTGTACCTGCAGTAATAATGCTCTATTTGATAGCTGCAAAACTGGAGGAAACCTTTGAAGATGCTTAGAACTAGTTGTAGAATGACAAACATATACAGAAAAGAAAATAAATTCTGGGTTTATATGGTTCCATTAAAATCTGAATTTATTGGAGAATCAAGAAGAATAAATTGTGGACAAACCCAGATCCCAAATAGATTAGAAAATGGAAAAAAGGTCACTGATAAAGATATGATAGAAAATATCTGCATATTATATTTGCCAACTTGGAGATCATAGTGAGCATGCTGAAGTTAAAGAGAACTAAGATAAATAACTTGTAAGAAAGAAAATATTGAACGATAGTGAAGTGATCAAGATCAACATACTTATTTGGAATATTTTTTATCATCAACGTTGTTCGGCAGTCTTCCCCACACAATACAGATTCGATATCAAGTTCGTAATTTTTCTCATCTGTGTGACAGGAAATGCTTTCCTGTCTGCCATGAGATGTTCTTCTCACTCGTCCCCTTGGCTTACTAGAAGTGAATGGTGAGGTAGTGCCTGCATGCCTCTCGAGAGATTTATGGCTTATAATCTGAGGAGGGCACATGGTAGATGGGGAACCAACTACTCGAAGGGGATTCAAGAAACCATCTGCTTTAGAAGACTCCTCCATATGGGTCATTTGTAAATTCTTGCAAGATAGACTACCAGATGGTGCTGATCTGGTGAGATTTTGTGTATGTATAGGTGACACTGTGTAGAGGACAGGTGGCAGTACTTCTGATAATGCAGAAAGAATAGAAGTTCTGGTAGCAGAAACACCATTATCAAATGGAGGAGAATGTGACCAGATTACAGGATTTGGATTATGATCATGGAAGGACTTGGAGCAGCTCCATGCATGATGATGTCCACTGAGTAAAGAGCTTCCAGTTCCTGAAGAGCCTGTCATGACCATGATCAGTTACCACGATAGAGATGGTATACAGGACCACATTAGGAATTGGTTTTTTACCATAAATTACAGTTCTGATGGTTATAAGAACATTTAAACTTAGAAACCATATCAATTTATATATAAACATTATTGAGAAATTATGTTTGACCTTATGAGGTGTGTGTTGGTATATAGGAAACAAACAAGTATGTCATAATACACTGTTGTCTTCTGGAAGCAAGAACCTAATTAGCATGAGCATGAAATTTTCCAGGTTATTCACAAAGTGACACTGGGGAGCAACTGCTTTAGATTTAAATCAGTACAACAGTTCTTATACTTCTATATAAAATTTGGAACATAAGGCTACATATCACACACAAGTCCAACACAATTTCATTACTCGACAAATAAATCTAAAGAGATATGGGGCAAAGAGGGGTGGCTCTAATAGAAACTGTATTATAATCATATAATCAGCATCAACTCTCAGAAAGGAACTGTTACTAGTTACTACATTTGGTTTCAAGCAGCTTGGACCACAGCTTGCAACAGTCCTTTGTTCTATGACCAAAAAGCTGGTAGTGGGGCTGAGACTAGTCCCTTTTTCCAATTCTTCGTTTCTAGAATTATCAAATACAATTTTAACTACTAGGTTTAGAAACTAATGTAATTCCAAAAACACTACTAGAGTATTTTCTGCCTTCTCTGATTATGGATGCAGAAGCCTTCAATATTCTATCAAAGAGGTCAAGTCTTCCATAATGAAGCTGAAAAAAATGTTCCATTAGCATCGGTTCAGGGTGCAACAGGTTATCACGAGATGTTTAGGGGGTTAATATTTGAGTAGAACTGAGTCACTTGTGGTATTCATCATAAGTAGTTGAGAAACTTTAATTGTGTGTCCAATAGAATATCTATTAAGCACATTGCACACTAGTGCATTGTGCCATACGAATCAATGTGAATAGCGCATAGAGAATTTTCCATCAGCCATCAGGTTATGTTTATGATATGAAGGTTTAAAGCATATTATTGCCACAACTAGAATTGCAAGGAAAAACAGAAAAGGGAAATGAAACAGACAGTACTGACCGCTAAACATGTGTTCCATTGGAGGACCATATGGATCCAGCATATGAAGGTGCTTATCATTTGTTTCCATTGTAAAACCAACACTTGCCAAGTTCACAGGGTCATATGTGATAACACCATTATCAACAAAACCTTCACAGTTGATGGGTAATGATTGAGGATGGAAACTAGGGAATTGGTTGTGGAACTTTGCTTGATTAGTAGAACGATGAGGCCCATGGCCCAATTGCTTACAAAGAGATGCTATTCCAACAGGAGATGGCAAGCTATTTGTAAAACAACAATTGGACTGGAGTGGAACATCTCCAGGGAATGCATTGACATTCATCTCGCTTAGTGAGGGTTCACCATGGACATATCCATCCTTCATGCAACTATTTACCACTACATCAGAAGAAATGCTTGTGGTGAGAGATGTCAAGATGAGAGAGGAAAAGCGCACTCCCATACTCTTAATACAAATCAAATCAGTTGCAAAGTTCTTCCATGGCCAAAGTATACATACCATGCAGCAATGACTTGCCACTAAGGTTTTGACATGACCTAACTTGACCTTGCACTAGCCCAGGAGTAAACTGTTGCATCAAACTGTATAAAGGAATAGTGGTTTGTAATTCAAGAAAAAAAAAGAGCTGTAAAATGGTATGGGCATGTGCTAAGAACCAAACAAGGTATTGACAGTACATTGTCCACTTAAGCAAGAATGAGCTCTGCCTGATAAATGAAGTACAAAGATCAAGAAGCTTGAGAAAGAATTAAACAATCATCGAAACTGAACAATGAAGTCTGGTGAAAGAAGATGAAACAAAATATACCGTAAATTTATCATTATCTCAGCATGAAAAATGAAGGCAAATGATAGTGATGATTTGTCTGCTTAGCTTAGAAACTAATACCTTTCCCCATGTTCTGGATGGCTTACTTCAACTTTGATCTGCTCTTGCAACATACTATTACTATTTAATCCGTTACTAGCTGCTTCTGCAGCTCGAATATCATAATATTTTATGCGTCTGTGATGTGTAGTTCCATATATCTGTCAGTAATAAAAACAGCCACGTAAGGAGTAATTGTTCACATGCTTTAATGATACAAATCTCAGCCAATAACTTACTTCTTCAATTTCTCCAAAACTGCCAAATATTTGGTGAAGTTTGTCGTTAGATATAAAGGAATCACAATTAAATACCACAAGGCTGGCCTGATCAATGTATTGTCCTGAGGGACCATCCTATTTACAAGTCAAAACTGCAAAAGTTAAAACAAATTTGACAAAGTATCATCAAATAAAAATGAAAATATTCCTGGTAAGCACTGAAAGTGCTGACCAGCAGAAAGAAATAGACAGTAGTATGACCATGTTGCCTGGTTAAAGAAATCATTACAACAGTGACACTAGTATAGCATCATGCATACACCAAACAAGGGTGAATGGTGGATCATGTACCTTTGGATACGAATAATGTATGTGAAGCTTCTTATTTTCCAATGGTTTGTTTTGAAGTGTACTAAACGCAATGGTAGCAGCCCTTATGTCATAATACGATATTATCACAAAACCTTGACATCTACAAGTTGTGTCGAAAGTTTGTATATCTCCATGGTGCTGATAGAAGAAAGGTGCAATTATATGTCTGAAATCAACGTCAAATAGGGAACTAGAAATATGGAGAAAAGAAAGAAAAAAAGGAAAAACTACTTGGTAAACAAAGAATACTAATGGAGAGCTGCTATGCACCTCAAACAGAACTCTAAGTTCTGAATCCTCAACTCTGTTATCCACATTTTTCACAAGAAGGGTTCTGGAAGGGTGTTCGCCGAAAGTTGGATAGTCTGAACTACTTTGATTACTATTAAGTCCCTCGGAAGTCATTGAATTCAGTGGTCGAAAATATAACTTAGAATTCCCTTCCATTTCCATGCCTCCACTACTGCTGAACAGATCAAAATCTTCGTCATCTTCGTCGCCAGTAGCAGTATGTCCCAATTCATCAAGTACGCCAGAGAAGAGATCTTCCTCATCAGGAAGAAGGCTTTCAATAGTTTGTGCAACAAACCTTTGGTTACAAATTAATGATCCTTTCTCATCAAATCGATTGACTGCAGTATTTACAGAAAAGTAACATTGAATCATCATCACAAGCATTAAGCAATTAATCACACATAAAATCATTGTGTTGCCAACGGGTGGGGAGTAAAGAATACCAACCTTCCCGAACCAATCACCAAGCAATCAAAAGCAATGAAGGCTTACAGGCAAGAAGACCAATGACATCTGGTTGATTCTATAAAGGGCCCGCAAGATTATACAGTTCTAATATACTACTACCCCCCCCCCCCAAGTTTCCTGAAAACATTAAAGAAAATGTACTGGTATTTTAGCATTATAAGCTCCCACTTTTTCCTAAACTTACTCCATATGCATCATAAAAGGACCCAACACCCCTCCATCTCCCCTCCCCCCCCCCCTCTTCCTTTTCTCTACATATCTAAGTGGCACACGCAAAGGTTGAGCAAGCACTGTAGTTAAAATCAACATAACTGTAAGTCAACAAATAGGGCTAGACTTGTCCAAGACTCCAAGGAATCAGTTCGGAGACCATAAATCTCAAAATGGCAAATGCTTCTAAGCTGACCTACTTGTAGACTTATAATTATGCATGAAGTGCTGAAGCTTATAAGTACCACAATGCCTGTCCCAACCATAGTTTGTAAGCAAAAAACAGAAGATACAAGGGAGGTATATAGCTATGCATATAATACCAAGTAGAGAACGGGACAAAACAAACTAATCAATGGAAAATTTGAACAACAGATTTACATATAAAAGCACATAATGAATAATCACCTTGCTTATCAGCTTTGATAGTTGATTTTCCAACATGTTCCTTGCAAAGTAAGGACAAAGATTTTTCAGAAATTCAATAACAAAGATCCTTTGAGGAGACAAAAATAAAGGCACCATGAACCCTCATATGTGACAATAACAGAATAAAACAAACACATTTAATCAGTGGTGGACCTACAACCAAGTGCACGTCTATTATGTATACTTTTGAAACCTTTTTGTAGTGGTAAAATAGAAAATAGAAAACTGGGTCTGCCACTGCATATAATTCTAAATAGAAGTTAAAAGGGTACCTCCCGGGGCACGTACGGTCTGTATGTATCCTGTTGATCCTTAACAGCAACTTGCATGATAGGCAGCAGTGAAGTAAAGCAAACAGATTGATAAACGATCAAGAAGCATCAACTTAGTATAACTTGATCCTCTTACAAGAATATCTGAGGATAAGCACTCATTCATCAATACATACAGTAACATCTAACTTATGAGAACATACACACGAGCATGAAGATTCAATAGCATATAGTAAATTACTATAACCAGACAATCCACTTCAAAGTTATAAACATGGAGACATGACAGAAATCACAGAGAATTTTAGAAGCACTTGATTCCTCTTCAGAACAGCGTGATGGATCATCCGGCTTTCTTTATAGTTAATAACACTGCTTCATCTTTCTTAAGTTTCCAGGTTATCCAAACCAATTATTCCTTAGCAATAAACATTCATTAGAACTGCTTAATGTTATAGAAATTTGACCAAAAAAAAACTCCGAAATCAAGATACAGAAACTAATTTCGCAAAATTCATTGGAACCAATAAAAATCCTGGAAATGTACATCAAACATTCCAAACGAACGAAGCAAAATTAAGTAATAAATCACCACTAAAAACAACACATAAACATGTAAAGATTCACCATCAAAGAAACCGAACTTACGGTAACCAACCTGATCCGGATTCCGGCATAAATTGAGAGAAAAGAAGGTAATTTCATGGACATAGTTCGGTTTGGAAATTTATAAAATTAGGTAAACCAAAACTAACCAGCGACCTACTCCTTCTTTTGCAAAATATGAAACACCAAAAAGAAAAACTTGTATCAGCTCCTTTTACTTGGATAATATCTATACTGTTGGCCGGAGACTGAAAATACAGTGTCGGAGAAACATGAAATTTGGCCGGAGAGTAGATGAAGTCCGGTGAGCTTTGAATGAGAAATCGACAAAGTGAAAAAGAAATGGGCGCGATTTGTGTGTTTGCGTGAGACAGTTAAATTACGAATTAAGGAAATATCATACGGAAGCTCCTGGATTATTGTGATATAGAAATCATGATTCTTATTTTGTACAAATAGATTCAAATCTCCATTTTAGTATTTAAGATTAAAATTTTTAACATTTAAGTATATAGATAATCGGTTACTATATTGATATGATGAATGATGTGGTATTCAACTTAATACTACTAGTATGGGAACCGCGCGTTGCACGGTAGTATGAGTACTTTGATTAATGATCTGAAGATTGTTTATATAAATATATATTAGATGTTAATAAAATCATCAACAAATAGTATTCAAATAATTCGAAAAAGTTAAATAAAATACAATTAGTGAAATTGTAATACACACACATATATATATATATATATATATATGTATATATTGAGAGAGATTTTACTTTTATATAAATATAAAGATATAATAATATAATATAATTAATTTTGTACTATAATTTCTACCATTTGGTTTATTTGGTTTTCAACCATGGTTATAGATTTCAAAGAGGGTCATCAAAAGAAAGACAACCCTATGAGGCAAACCCCATTATTTGACACAAATGCATCCAATCCACCTTTCTTATACACTCCATCTTATTCAAATCTTTCAACTCTTCACCAATGTGGGATATCTCAAAATCAACTACAATTCACCAATACCTCAATACTTAATCCTCATGATGCCACCTCAATACTCTTGGTTCTTCCTTTAATATATATATAGATTTATTGACATGGATATCTTAATCTAAAATTAGTTTTTATGTATTATGATTTATTAGAAAAAAGAGTTGATGCTACAAACGGTTACCCGGATACTTAAATGTTTAAGACTCTACATTTTATGTATCAAAAATGAAAGTTTTAAAAGTACATTATCCAAAATAGAAATCAAATTAAAATACTTTATTTTTTTATGCAATTTACCTTATTCATAATTTTTTTAAGTTTTACTAAAACATTTTCAAAAACAAATTTGAGAGAGATTAAAGTTTTTCAAAAATGGTTTTATCACAAAATCACAACAAAATTCACTCGTGGTTCAAAAATGGTTTTATTAAAACATTTATTTGATTTTAAAATTATATGATTCAGATATTATTTTAAACGATTCATATTTATCGTAATAAAATCCAACAACTATAAAATATGTTGGTAATTTTAATGAAATCATCCTGTCATTTTGTGTAATTAGATTCACACGAGAATAAGAGGTTTATAGTTAAGTTATAACACCAGCTAGGAGGTATGGAATGCACACTTGTGTAAGCTAACTAGAATCTAAATTTGTTGGATGCCTTTGTATATGGAGGGTTTAAGTGGCAGAGGGTCGTGCATAGAAAGTCGAGTCGTGCTTGGAAACAGAAGGTTGTGCATGATCGTGTGTTTCTCGTCAAAATGTTATCAACTCTGGTATTAGCTCTATGTACTTGATGGTATACTAGCTAGCTGATGGATCTATTGGTTGAAGGTCCAGCTAGATGATGGTTCAATTATGTGCAACTCGTTGAAGGTTTCAACTAGCAAATAGTTCACTGGTGTTCAACACGTTGAAGGATTGCCACTTGTGTTCAACTCTATCTAGAATAGATGATGATTAACCACTAGTTTTGTATATGCTTAATCTATAACCGTTCACTCCTTATTTCCAACAATCATTTCCATTTAATGGGGAGTTATTCTCAACATTAGCGTAGGGGTGGTTATGATCTCCTAAGTTTAAAAGGAAACGATTTCTGTCAAAATCGGAACTGGAAATTTGAGATTATCCTCGAGTGAATTTCGTAATGCCCATGCAAATTAGGGTCGAAATGTCACTAAAGAAAATCGAGCTCTCATGCGATCTCAAGTTATTATCCAAGTTTTCTACTCACGATTTTATCACAATACCCATGATTTCCCCAACAAAATATGTTTATTATAAACTCAATATCAACGATGTATTTAGAGAGACAGTCAAGTTCATACGAGAACAATAATCAAATAATAAAATAAAAACGATCGAATCACATGTGATTTTACACTAAAATCACGTGTAAAATCACATATAATTAACGAGATTTTAGTCATGTCGCAGGCCATGTTGCACGCACACCCTTGCGTTGATAGTTGGTGTAATAGATAAAAAAAAGTTAGAAAAACAATAAGCAGTACTATAAAATAAACGATCAATGAACATTTTACATATTTTCATTTTCAATATAATTAATTAATAAATTTTTGGACACTTAATATAATACTAAATTTTGAGATCTCAAATTCAAATTCAAGGAGGAATAAAAATCCCTTGTAGCCACGGAGGTTCAAATGCGGTGACTTCGGGCTATCTGCAAAGCAGGTGGTGTCACTCTGGGATTAGTCGGCTCACATAGCAGGTTGGATATCCAGGTTAATAAAAAAAAATTGTTGGTCCTATTTGATACTTAACAAGTTATGTCCATTTTATTTACTTTTTTTAACTAATATTATATACTTAAAAATTTTGAACCCCTAATTCTTGTAGGTCCTGGCCTCCAGGACATGCATCCGATCCGCCCTCCCAAAAACGGCCCTGGAAATCAAACCCTGATGTTGATGGTTGTCGCTTTGTGTCGAAGTTCGCGTGAACAACAAGTCCTACACCCGTTGTGACGCTGGGTTTAGTAAATGATAGTTGGGCCAACTTCTTGTGGGTCGAAATCAGAATATTGTACTTCACTTGTAGCAATGAGCGTTATCTTTTAAACGGGTTAATTCATTATTTATTTATTTTATTTATAAGCTTTAATTTGTGATGATTAAGTGACATGTCATCATTGATTACACATAAATTTAAAAAAAAAAAAAATAATGGATGCCCCTTACGTGAGGGGCATGTAATCTTATTTAACAATATTCTCAAATAAATCTCTTAGGGACCGTTTATTAAACGCTTATTGAGTAAGTGCTTACTGGTAATTTTCTTTACCGAACGAACATGGTAAGGGTTTAGAATCTTACCCGGTTAGAGCGGTAAAATGATGGGGAATTTTATCCGGTAAGAGTGGTGAAAGGAGAGTCTTACCCGGTAAGTAAGTGAGAGTCTTACCCAGTAAGTGAAAGAATAAACATGGTAAGGGTTTAGAATCATTTTGATGCACTACAATCTTACCCAGAAAAATAAATTATAGTGTTGACTCTTATCGGTAAGTACTTACCGGGTAAGCATTTGAGCAAGGGGCCGTTTACCTAAACACTTACCTGGTAAGCGCTTACTGATAAAATTCAGCACTATCGCTTACTTATCGGATAAGATTTTATTCACCAAAACGCATCGTATGCAACAATTTATCCCGGTAAGCGCTGACCATGGTAAGAGTTGTCGCCGTCACTTACCGGATAAGACTCTTGATTCTTGCATTCGCTCTTACCTGGTAAGATTTTTAGTCCTTGCCATATTCATCCGATAAATCAATGTGACTTGATAAGCGCTTACCCGGGTAAGCGTTTGATAAACCGCACCTAAATGACTTCTCTAGCTATCAATAATCCGTCCCACATAAATATAGAATGAGATCTAAAAGCTTTTTATCTAAAAGTAGTGATTTCACTCTTAATTGGATTGATTCTAGATGCATCATCAAAAAACTTGTGATCAAGGGTGATTTATAATGAAATACAAGTAATAATGCTCTTTGCACTGCAAATTCTGGGAAGATTTATGAAGATGCATGCTTCTTTTCATTGCAAATGCTGGAGTTCTTGATCATCTAGACTAATTGAACATTGTGTTAAAGAATACATGCATAGAATGTGAGCACAGATTTATAGAACATACCGCTATCAAAAAATAATCCCGGACTTCAAGGTTGCATTTAAATCTGATTTCTTTTTACGCTAAGCAGGGACTGCTTCGACAATCCTTGAAAAATAGAATTGTGTGGTGGTGAGGCCTCTCTTTCTTATTTTCCAGCCAACCTTTTGCAGTGCCCGTTCTATATCAGCCTCTGCGTGAAGATATGCTCTTGTTGCCTTAGAAGGTCCTGGGAAAAGCTCTCCTATTCTCTTCAGCAGATCGTAATATAATGTTTTGGGCGCAAAACTGAGTATTAAGCGGTTTTCAGCTAGAGATGCCAGGTGGGCAATCATGGCATCGGCCTTACTTTGTGGGTAGTGTATCATTACATCCAGACACACTACTGTATCATACTTCCCAGTTAAGCTTTCCAAATCACTCACTTCAAACTTTGGCATCTGTAAATCATCTATGCCCACAAGTTCTTCTCTTGCCTGCATGAATTTCGGAACATGATCAGTTGTTCAAACTTCAATCCATTACTTGTTGACTTGAGGACTGATGGTCAATGTAAGATACATTGTCACGTCATTTTAAGTATGATCCCTTCTAACCATATTTTTGTGATTTAAAGGTTATTTGTCAGCCATCTGTTCTAGACTCCGGCCATCTTTGATGATAGATTGGCTTGGATTTTGGTGTTACTTGCATGACCAAAATTGATTGATGCCAAAAGACATAAAAAAGGAAGCCAAAGACCCCATTCCAACGGTCGGTCCATGAAGGCCAAGATGGCGGTCTAAACCGAAGCCCCATACTCTTAAAGCAAGTCCCCAGGCAAACCAACCATAACATGGTATGGTAGCTTCTCGTGACAAAAGAAGATGCACCACTTGACACTTAGGATGCGTTTTGTTCGCAAGAATGTTTTTGGAAAGAATGAATTGTGTCAAAAGAATTAGAATCATGGAATGTAAAGGAATTGGGATTAAATTTAATGAGGTTTGACTACGCCCTTGGTTAACAGGAGCTGGAATGAAATCTGTGAAATGCATTTGAAATTTTGAATCTTGGTTCTGTTTGGTTAGCGGGATGTAGCTTAGGAACTGAAGTCCTTTCTAATATCATAACTAAACATAGAAATGGAATTTGGTCTATGGAATTTACCATTCCAATTCCTTCGGAATCCAATGAACCAAACAAACTTTAACTAATTCCCAAGGTCTCTTTGGATCTAAAGGGGAAATCCTTGTGTGTGCGTTTCAAATTGATTTGAGGCGAATAGGTCATATGAGAACAAGTATCATCACTGGCATTTATCTATTATAAACTTAAAGTTTAAACGATTCAGTATCAAATATCAATTATGAAGTTAAGAGATTATTAGTTCGTTCTACAATTAACATGAACTGATAATGGAGGGCTGAATTAGTTGCTTAACCTGCTTCTCAGCTTCAGAAACCATGGAAGGTGAAATATCACTGGCTGAAACAATGGCACCTTCCTTGGCCAACGGGATAGAGAGGCATCCGGTGCCACATCCAGCATCACATACACTAACGCCTCGAAGCGGGCCTTCATCGGTCAACATTTTCATCACATTCTCTACCGTCTTCGCGTGTCCAATTCGTATATCCAATTGCACCTTATTGACCTCATCCGTATCACCATATATCTTCTTCCACCTCTGAAACCCATCGTTAGTAAAATACTCCCTCACGACCTCCTTGTCACCACCACCAACCTCCTCCGCCTGTAACTGGCGGCGTTTCTCCGGGTCCGCGAGTGAAATTGCGGCAGCGATTGCTGCGACTGAGCCACCTCCGATGACCGCGAGTGTTGTTCCGTCGAATGTGTCGGCTCCCAGTGCGGATACAGTTAGGGTTCTCCGATTGTTTAGTTTATGTAATTTAGGAATAGAAATAGGATTAGGATTGGAATGTTGGTTGGTTGTGAAGCAGACACGAGAGAATAACGCCGATGAGTACGCCATTTTTCCTTAAATTTGTATCTCCGGCCGACCGGCGGGAGAATTAAGTCAACGTGAAGAGTGTTGGATATGAGGGTGAGTTGATAAGTGATAACGCAATCCATACGAAAGGATATGATTGGCCAGAGGACGTGGCCTCCGTTCCCTTCTACTATTTTTAAATAGAAATTGCAAGAAAATCAGGAAAACTCCGTAAAAAAAACCCAAAAAAATTTGATTTTGAAGGGTGGAGGCCAATGGTGTTAAAAAAACCTTGAATCGTTTAAACCGACTGTTTTTTGCGGTTTAAACGGTTTAACAGTTTGATTTGGTTTGAAAAATAGCAAAATCGAGCGATTCGGTCCGATCTGCGGTTTAGAATCTATTTTGGGCGGTTTAAACCAAACCCACCGCCAAATATATATATGAAGGTGGTTTGCACGGTTTACACAAATGAGGGCGGTTTTCATATGATCACTCCTCTATAATATATATATATATATATATATATATATATAGGGGTAGGTTCAAATGAAAACCATGCAATTCTAAGAAACCGTGTAAACCAAATTCGACCAATAGGAAAATTCCATTCTTTTTAATTAAATTTAATCAATAAGGGTATTTTGGTCATTTTCTATATTTTTATGATAAATAAGKTAGTTATTAATAAATATTAAATAAGAAAATTTAATAATGGAAATTTCTTGAATGGTAACATATTAAATTTTTTAATATATTATAATATTAAAAACTTGATTTGAATGAGACATTCATAATGAAAATGTTTCATAATGAAACTGTTTCATATGGGACGTTCATATGGGGCGAAGTTCTTTCCTAAAGTTCATGAAACTATTTTATATGGGGCAAATTTCATGAAACTGTTTCATAATGAAAAAGTTCATAATGTAATACTCTAGGCATATTGTCCAAATTAATACTCTATGCATATTATCCACTTTAATGAAAAGATTTCATGAAACTGTTTCATAATGAAAAGGTTCATAAATTCATATGAGTGGAATAAGAAAAATGAACTATTGATGCAACGGTTTCATCAAACGTTTCAAAACAGTTGAAAAATCGAAATAATATAATCTCTCTATTTCCTAATGAAAATATTGTAATGAATAGTTTCATAAACAAAGTTAAAAAAACAATGATCATGAAACTGTTTCAATGTGAAAAGGTTTCATTGTAAAATGGTTTATTTGCTCCGTCTATGCATATTATACGTGTTAATGAAATAGGTGTTTTGTGATTGAAGTTCATGGTTATCCTTGTTGCTTTGTGATTGAATGTACATCTAGGTTCATGATGATCCATGTTGCTTTGTGATTGAAGTTGATCTGTTTAGTTGGTAGGATGAAAATGAAACAGATGCGTAATGTATTGTGTTCTTTTATGAAATAAATATATGATG